GGGAGGTCATAATATTTACATAAAAGTATCTGATGGTATGGGGAAAAATGCTTTGTTTCAAATTTGGGACTAAACTTGAGACAACTCCTTATAAGTTCATAGGCATTTCTTTAAAAACTCTTCAGTGTCTCTGGAAGAACTTACTATTTTTAAAACTAGGGAAATAAAGGAAAAAGAATCAAGAATGTATCTAGCTAGTCCTATATGAACTGTACTTCAAGGTAACCAAATAGTTGAGGTAATGTTTCTCTTTGTAGATGTATTAAAATAAATGAAAAAAGAATTGTATAATTAGAATATCACCATTTTGTAACTTCCAATGATATAACCTATCTAGGCAATGCCAGATATTAGCTACTTCTTAATAAGACACACATTACTACACTATGAAAAGAAAATACTGAATCTGATCAAAGTTCTTGCTGTAGCTTCCAATATAATGAGAAAAAAAAAAGAGAGAATGAAGAACTTACTGAGTGGGAATTTGAGAATATCATCATCAAAATCCTGATAGTGAAAAGCACTCCCATCAAAAGGCAGAAATTGTTGCTCTTTCTAATCAGGCTTCTCTAGTTCTTGTAGACACTTTAAATACAAACATACAAATAAGCTAAAAGTGAGAAAAAATGGAAAAGGACATACCAGGCAAACAGTAAGCCTAAGTAAGATGGAATGGTCATTACAAAATTAAAGCAATGGGACCAGCAGATAACGTAATGGCTACATTGCTGGACTCCCATGTAGTTGACCACGGGTCGAGTCCCAGACCCGGTGGCTTAAACTCACGCTGGATGAGTGTGCGTGTGTGTCCAAAATCCCAAGAGGAGAATGGAGGAGAAGGGATTGCAGTGTGGCCATCCCCCCTGGGGGGGGGTGATTTCTCGCTTTCTGTCTGTCTCTCTGTCTCTGTCTTCTGGCAGGTGCACGCACCCTATAGCAAAAACCTCTTCCCCCCCCAAAAAAAATAATAAATAAGTAAAATAAGGCAAAACAGCCTTTGAAGCAAGGAATAGTACTGGAGTTATAAAGCAGGAAACTTCATAATGGTAAAATAGTAAATACATGAGAAATAAAAGTTATAAATGTTTATAAGCCCGATAAAAGTGCTACAAAATACATGATAGAAAAACTGACAGAAATATTTTGAAATTTAGTAGAAAAAAATAGGATTAAGGAATGAGTTTTTCTGTGCAAATTTTAAAAAACTAATCCATGCAGTTTCATAATATGCATTTTGCATGGCTTTTTGAAGATCCCTTAGATACGAACCCACAGTCACAGAAGAGTTTAACGAGTTTAACACACCTATCTCAGTAATTGACAGAGCAGCCAGATCCCCCCAAATCACCAATATAGAACCGAAGTGATGCTATCAACCAACCAAAAAATTGGGGAACAAAGAACCACAAAGAGTCTAAAATAGGAAGAAAAGGTGGGTTGGTTAGGTATTAATCTGCCTCCTCCTCTAAACTAGTTCTTTATGTACTTTCAAATGAAATGACTAAGCGCAGGTTTGCCACAGATTTGAAGAGAAGAGGTGAGGTGCTGACTTTCAGCAAGAAGTGACCCATATTTTATTTATCCAGCTTTTCAACCCCATTAAGTTTTCAAAGTCTTTTTGACATCCCTAACAGTGTCTTTTGAAAATAGGCAGCCTACATTTCCTTATTCCCATTTCACAGACAGGGAATGTGAACTCAGTGGCAGACTTGCCCAGGAAACAAAACTGTAAATCTGTTGCTAGATCAAAAGGTCAGACATATTTTAAACATCGCCTGAGAGTGCAGTGAAATACAATGTTCTAAAGTAAATTTTCCCCAACAGAAATATATAAAATAATTAGATAAAGGCTTTAATGGGACCAACAGATGGCATAATGGTTACGTCACTGGACTCCCACATGGCTGACCGTGGTTTGAGTCTGGGGCCTGGAGGCTTGAAATGCACTGGCACGTGTGCATGTGTGCCCCAAATCCCTACAGGAGCATGGAGGAGAAGGGATTGCAGCATGGACATCCCCCCTTGGGGGTGATTTCTCGCTTTCTGTCTTTCTCCATCTGTCTCTCTGGTGAACACACACAACCTCTATCAAAAATCTCTCAAAAAAATTTTTTAATTGGGCTTTATTTTCACACTCCCTAAAGTGACATAGTTGGATATCAGGTACCAGGTTAGACTCCAGAAAGGACAAAGCCATAAGCATTCACCTTGTATCCATGGCATCTTAAAATAAATCACTCCTTCATGGCCTTCTTGGCAAACTCAGTGTTGACCATACTCCTCGTTACCCATAAAAATTTATCAAGTTGCGGTTTAGAAACAAACTTCAAAGTAAGAAGTCTGCTGAAACTCCGCAGATTTCCTTTTCTGACTAGCAAAACACATACTTTACGGATCATCTCACGGCTGAATTTAGATTACTCTTAGAGTAAAAAATTACTTTCATTCCTAATTTGAACTAAAATAGTTTTTTTTTTAAATAATTCACTAACTTTATTGAAGGACTTAAGAAATCATTAAAGTATCGGGACCAGCAGTTAGCATAATGGCTATGTTGCTGGACTCCCACGTAGTTGACCACAGTTTGTGTCCCGGACCCGGTGGCTTAAACTCACGCCGGGCACGTGTGTGTGCATGCCCAAGATCCCAAGAGGAGAGTGGAGGAGAAGGGATTGCTGCGTGACCATCCCCCCTGGAGGGGTAATTTCTCGCTCTCTGTCTCTCTCTGTCTGGCAAGCACACACGCCCTATAGCAAAAACCTCTCCAAAAAAAGAAATCATTAAAGTATCAATACTGAATCTTCGAAGACTCCTCGAGTACAGTCTGTGAAAGCTACACAGTGGTTTATGCATTGCTATTGCTTAGATATTCTTAATATTCACATCAGCCTCCTGTTCTTTGTAAATTTGTTTATGTTTAAATATACAATTCAAATATGTTCTAGGCAAAGACTGGTTATTTAAATATTGTTTATATGTTTTATTTATACCCCTCTCCGTGTTCCACCAAAGCATATATTCTTGTAAGTACATGGGGGACCATCTCATTAAGGCTAACACTGGTTTTATCTAGGAGGGGAGGGGGAAATACAAGCATATTAAGTAATTTTTCAGTTCTTTGGTGAAACATGGAAGGAAGGAAAATTATTTGACGTTTAGTTCCGATTGTTTTCAATTTCTTATACAAGGTCAATGCTGTAAAATCTGTTCATGTTTTCATAAAACCTGAGACAATAAAATACAGAAGTCACTACTTTCTATTTAAAGCAAACTGCTTTTCACAATTCGTATCACTTTTAAAAGAGAGACAGAGAAAGAAAAGAAACACATATATTCTTCCCAGAACATAGGCCAGTGGGTTCTTCTACCAGGTAGTCCAGGTTAAGTGGGCAAGCCTTCTACTGGGCTTGAAGGGGCTCTCTGTCTCTGCTGATGCTGCTGGTAGGCCTGCTGTGGATGCCCAGGAAAACAGTGGCTCCTTAGAATCATGAGAAACAACACTGATTTGACCACTATTTTTCATAGAAGCTTTGAAGGAACTACCAGATAATCACAACTCAATTACTGTTGGGGGCTCCTTTGTATTTGGGATCAATAACCTAGAAGTGAAGATCTCCAGTGTCCATCATGCCTCCACTGACCCACCTCCCCATGCACACCCACTGAATGAAGTGAAGTGACAAGGCAGCAGGTGTTAAGATGTAGCGCCGCTTTGGAACATAATTTGTAGGAGACAGGTCTGAAATTCAGCTCAGATGTGCATAAGCACTGAGTTGATTGCTCAACCATGAAGCTGTCTTTTGAATGCACAATTGATTTTTAGCAAGTATGAAGTATCAAGGCCTTCATTTTGATTTTATGAAAGTAGGCTACGTTGCATGAGTATCTAAAAGTGGCTGGGAAAAAAAATCAAGGTGCATACTTTCTAAAACTAAAAATAACCAGGGAATGAGCCAAACATGAACATACATTTCAGCAGAAAAGTAATAAACAGAAAGCCAAGCAGATAATATGCTGAAGAGTGAAGAAACCCATAACGGTTTTATGCTGACTTTAAAACAGTGAAAAAATTGAAACTTTATTAATGTAAAAACAAATGCAGTTAGATATTTAGATCAACCAAAAAAAAAAAAAACAAAAAAAAACCCAAAAACCGGCTATTAATGTTACCATGAGGGTCATCTGAATTGTCAAAACTTGATGTTGTCACCAATCTCACTTTTTATTTCACTAACACAAAAATTTCTTACTACAACCCAATTTTGACCCAACAATATTAATTGGTAGATCAGAATCATAAGACTAATAACTTCATGTTAATTTTGTTTTATGAGAAAGAAAACATACGGTCCTTAATTCTAAAAAGGCCATTTACTACCTTGTCCCAGTTACTCTTCCAGGAAGAAGGGACTAGAAAAGGTATATGGAATTACATTAGAATATAATGTCTAGAATTAAAAAAATAAAAATAAAAATAATTAAAAAAAAATACACTTGGAAAGAAAAAAATAAAGGCCAATAAATAATCTACAGGAAAACAGGAGGGGACCAGCAGTTGGCATAATGGCTATGTCACTGGACTCCCATGCAGTCAACCACAGTTCGAGTCCCAGACCCGGCAGCTTAAAACTCATGCCAGGTACATATGCATGCGTGCCCAAAATCCTGAGAAGAGAATGGAGAAGGGACTGCGGTATGGCTACACTCCGTGGGGGGTGATTTCTTGTTGTCTCTCTGTCTCTGGTGAGCTCACACATCCTAAAACAAAAATCTCTTTCAAAAAAAAAAAAAAGGAAAACGGGAGAAAACACTGATACTATTTTGCTGTACCATGGAGAAACATGGTAGTCCATGATCACTTCCTAGATTACTCTTTGGATACTTCATTGAATTGGCCTTAATTACTTACATGGTGTGCAACACAATTAGGATTTGTCTTTAGCTCGGAAAGAAGCATGAATGGATGCAAAATCTAATCACAGACCACTATAGATCATTAGAGCAATTAAAACACAATTTGCAGTCTTGAAAATCTTTCATACAAATTCCCTGCTAACCTTTGGAACCAGGTTTCAGACTTGCAAAAACTTTGGGGTTTTTAAGGGCCAGTGAGAGCTCATTGAGGAAGGAAATAAAGTGGGAGTCTCTCTCTGACTTCTTTGACTCAAAAATGACCACAATGGTAAAGTGAGGTTCTGGGCGGGTTAGGAAGTAGGTGCTCTGAACTTTGTCATCATAGAAGTGGACCACTTTCTCCAAGCTGTTCAGGTCAGATGTTCGGTCCGTCATAATCATGATGACATTGGGCCAGTGCATAACTGGCCTGTCACTGGGCAGAGACACCACAGCTGGATACTGGTCCACGCCCTTAGGGGCCTCTCTGTATGAATGAGGATGGTGATAGCCATGACCCTGAAAGCTCTCGGAACCTCGGTTGTCAAATATTAAGGACACATTGGCAGCATCGTATTTCCTGATGAAGCTGGAAATCTTCCCAAAAAGATCCGGGTTAGCTTTTGCAGTCAACGTTTTCATTTCTGAAGCAGTTGTCTGTCGGCTCAGTGCTTCATGAAAGTAAAAGCTAAACTTGGCAAGGAGCATGTTTTTGAGTTTCATCAGCCAAAGGAAAAGGTGTGGGGGCTGAACAGCCTTCTGAGATTGCCCTCCAAACAGATGTTTCTTGGTCTCCCGCTGCTTTTCAAAGATCTGGCCCCAAGTCTGCAGCTTTGTGTGAGCACTGTGTAAGTTAACCAGGGACGGAAGGAACTTCCACTCCGAGACCTGGGCCTGGGCCCTCAGCAGGTGACTCAGGACATCGACTTCCAGCTGGAAACTGCTTTCCAAAGGACTGAGGATTGGGTGGTGAAACCTAAAGGGGAAGGGGAAAAGGAAAGTCATCAAAAATAAGTGGAAGTGTTACTCCACATGATGTTGGTGTTTCTACTCTCAAAAAATACAATGTGGCCAGACAAATAATACTACATATGAGGGTAGGGGAAGGAAAGAAAGAAGAATTCCACATTGATTTGCTTAAAAATTCTGATGTAACTTAACCATTTCCGAACTATGTCGACATTATATTGTCCTGTGGCAAAACCCTGCTATTCAAAAACAAGGATGAGAGTGGTGGCTGCCTTTATTTCAAAAGAAAAGTTAAAATAGCTATAATTCTTTTTTAAATGTTTACTTACTTGTTTTATTTTATTATTATTATCTAATTTGACAAGAGAAGAAGAGGGAGAGAGAAAAAGTGAGAGAGCAAGATGCCAGGTTCGAGACTTGAATTGTGGTTGGCCATGTGGGAGTTCAGCACCTTAACCACCATGCCACCTGCCTGCCCTAAAATAGCTATAAATATTTATGTTATTTATTTGGGGAATTTATGGCTTACTACTACAAAGCTATGCATCTGCTTTCAGAGTGTGGTCCTAAAGAGGCAAAGATTTAAAATGAAGTGAGGCACTATAGCATCTGTTGAATATATACATAAACTTATTTCACAGGTAAGAGTACAGACTATAAACCTGTATCTGAACACAGTAGATAATCAAATGTTTATTAAAGACATACAGCATCTATCAAACAGGGTTTATTCTATCCTAGTTTGCAAATTCTATTTATATTTAATTAATTTAAAACAAAACGATGACCAAATAAGAAAAATCTAATACTTTGTGATCAGCAGATGGTGAAATAGTTACATCACTGAACTCCCACATAGTTGACCATGATTTGAGTACCAGACCCCGAGGCTTAAGACTCATGCCCAAGATCGTGAGAGGAGAATGAAGAAGGGACTGTGGCATGGCCATCTCCCCGGGAGGTGATTTCTCACTTTCTGTTTCTCTGTCTCTCATTGTCTCTCTAGTGTGTGTATACGCTCTATAGCAAAAAACTCTCTTAAAAAAAAAAAAAATCTAACATTTCAATTACTTTCTATTAATTTCAAAATAAACCCCAAAATCCTTGAAGAATCTGGGCCCTTCTTTACTTGAGCCACATTCATATTCTTTCAGTTTGTTCCAGATATTAAATAAATAACTAAAAATGCAATGGCATTACAAGGAGCTCAAGACAGCAGTGAGATTTTATTTCTGCTTTCCTAGACAAAATGCTTTCAAAACCTTTTGACCATTATTTATAGTAAAATATATTTTATACTGTGACTGAGTACATACACACATATATAAATGTTATTTCATTTCATATTTACCTGTACTATGTCAACACATGCTTGATATTTTCTATTATATATTTGTGGGGGCTTTCAAACAATTTGTGAAAAATGTGTATTATGAAAAATAGTCTCTGCTTCACTGATTCTGTTGCTTGTTGCTACAGTTAGGACATCATTTTGTTCCTCAAAGACTCATGTTTTGGAATTCGGTGTTAGGAGGTGGTGAAACCTAGTGGAAGGCAATAGGATCGCGGGGATGGCCTCATGGACGTAACACTCTTGTGGACAGATAAGACCCAGTGAGTTTTAGCTCTCCTAAGAAGGGCTTTGTTCTCTCAAGAGCTGATTGTTATGAGAGCTGTCCATAGCTTGCTCTCTCTATATATGCACATATCATCCTCTGTGCATCCCTCAGCCATATTGTAGGCCAGCCTAATGCTAGCCCTATGCTTTTAGACTGTCCATACAACAGAATTGTGAATTACTGAATCTTTTTTTAATAAATCACCTAGTCTCAGGTCTTCTTTTTTAAAATTATTTTATTTATTATTACTTTTTAATTTGCTATAGGGCACGTGTACTCACCAAAGAGAGACAGAGAGAGAGAGAAAGTGAGAAAGCAAGCCACCAGGCCCAGGACTTGAACTGCAGTCAGCCATGTGAAAGTCCAGCACCTTAACTACAATGCCAACTGCTGGCCCCTCAGACATTTCTGTTAGCAACACAATATTGGACTAATATGCTTATGATACAAATGAAATTCTGTAACAATGGCATAGAATGGCTAAGGAGAGTCTTTTCTGTATGGACCACTTCAGTTTTCTTTTTTTTTTTTTGGCGGGGGGGAGGTTTTTACTATAAGGTTTTTTACTATAAGGTTTTTTCTGTCTCACCAGAAAGACAGAGAGACAGAAAGCAAGAAACCACTCCCGCAGGGGAGATGGCCACGCCCAATCCCTTCTCCCCCATTCTCCTCTCAGGATCTTGGGCATGTGCGCTTATGTGCCTGGCATGAGTTTAAGTCACCAGGTCCGGGACTAAACCACAGTCGACTACATGGGAGTCCAGTGACATAGCCATTTTACACCAGCTGCTGGTCCCATGACCACTTCAGTTTTCTTGCTCAGTCTTTTCCTTCTTGATAAATGCCCAGAGGATGTCAGTGTCTGCCAGTATTGGTCACTCTCCTTCTCAAGAAGCCTACATCAGTCCTTACACTATTTCTAAACATTCCAAACACCTACAGAGGCTAAATAAATCATCTCAGCAAGTGACCCCATTAAAGGTGGGGAGGACTTGCATTTACAGAGGATATCTCATGTTCTCATTATGGTAGATGATCTATAGTCCGTTTAATTTTATTGCTTCATTTTTAATGAGACAGACACTTACACAGTATGGTTTTAGCTCCTGTTGAAGATGGAAATATAGGTTATCGATTACATAATTAGAAAAAATAATTAGAAAAAACTAATAGTGTATCTACTATTTTTAAAATCTAAGCATTATTTGAAGGGATTATGAGTAAGAGTTGGATGCTATAAGATAGAAACTGGTAATCATGATAAATATAGTTATTCACATGAAAATAACATTGTCTTTAGTCTATTTTCCATAGTTTACTCTCAACATCCCTCAAGATGGGGAAGCTAAAGCACGGGTAAGGGGTCAAGCCTGGCAATATACTCAGAGAATCTGAATAATAGACCAGATCTTCTAGCTTATGTGCTTACTTAATTCATTTAGACTCTTCAAACATTACATGTTTTGGAATTAACATTAGAAAGTGTAACATATACACATTCAACCTCACTATGGCATAAATCTTGAACTTTTAAATGATAAAAAAAGGCTCCTACCAACTTAGGAGTCTTTAGGCACACTGATACTTAAAAGCATCAAGTATCACAATAGTCTGTAATCATGACAATCAGGAAAATGTGCCAGGCAATTAGAAACATTGGAAGACTCTTAATCACAGAAACAATGGTATGGGATTGAAGAAAATTTCACCACAAACAACACTACTGTATTTTCTTCTGCTTTCATTTATATCCAAAACTTCCCTTGAAAGGAAATGAAGTCCCTAAGTCAAACCTTCAGAAAGAACTCTGAACAGGCTCTTCCATTACAACACTTTGCTTAAATGCTCAACATTTATCAGAGATGACCGTAAACAATGAAGCTGCTTTCCACCTTCAAGAAGAGGTAAAAATTCATACTAACTTTAGTCTGCCAAGACTTAGAGACTGACGTTATGATGTACTATTTCCCCATTTCCACTCTGCTGCATACTTCATAGCTCTTCACAACTCATATTACAGGAGGGAATCTGTCAGGTGGTTGTAATCCAAAATTACACACCTATGCTATAGCAGCAAGCTTGAAAGAGTCTTAATAAACTGACAGCTATTTGCAGAGAACATCTGCTCAAAAGGAAGGGTAGGGCATTAGGAAGGGAGAGATGGAAGAAAGGAAAGAGAAAAAAAATGAGTTGGTAGGATTTAGCCACGTAAAGATAGAGCTTGGTTTTCTTACTACCTGATTCCACCCGCTCTGCCACTTAACTTTGCAGCTCCTTCCATAAGAGGCACTTTCGCACTCCCCTTAGACTATGTAGCTTGCTTTGGCCAAAGAGCTGTTACTAGGTCTGGCACAAGCAAAGGCTTTAAGTGAATTCAGATGGCCTTGTCCTTTTTTGCACTTTGGACACTGTTACTGGGTAGCCATCTCCCCTTCAACCCTGAGCTCAGAACAGACACATGTGGAGCAGATCTAAGCCCAAAACTCATACAAAGAGCCCAGCCCAGCAAGACCAAGACAGTTAAGCCGGGTCACCCATGTGAACCCAG